CAGGTTGCTTCGATATGCAGATAAATAAATCAATAAAAGATCCGCATACGTACTGTTAAATCGATCTTTCCGAAGCATCGCGTGACCGGCCTTGATTTCATCAAGTTCTCATCGCTCAAAGCCTGTTTTTTAGAGCTGCGCCTACGCGTTTATATGCATAGCTCCCCTCCCGTCCCTCCCCAATGCAAAAGCCGTATTACCTACAAGTAACAGTGTAATCGACAATCGAGAAATCGTGATCCGACGCGAGCGAGACATATCGTGCTACGTTTTTCCGACTGTTCGAAACTGCATTGGTGTCGCGGCCTATAAAAGCAGCGATGAAAATATGTTTATAAAAATCGTGACACATAAGATTGTATATAAGATAAATACGTAGATATATATTATTTCTACATTTTTCTTAACGTTAAACAAATATTAAATATATTTGCAAACTTATCTGATTGTTTTTAAAAACCTAATACATCGATCAACGATATGTTAATTAGAATCATTCGGTATCGTTGCCTCATTCTGACGAAATATTACACTTTTTTCCTTATGAATGGCAGTGGGTAGAAAATATAGATCGCAATTCGACTACTTCATTCCGTTTCCGTCAGCCAGCCGGATTAATTGAGTAGTACTGTCGGATATAGATATTTGCTTCATAGGCAGCGCATAACGAGCCGCTTGATGTGTAAAGACGCCAATGGGGAAGGCGGATGGGCACACAGGAGGGTGCCGGTGCAGTTTGGGATAATATGACAAAGATCGGGAGGCACGAGACGATAGAGGGCGAGAGTATGGACAGACATAGAAAAGCCAGGTGTTTCGTGTGGCATAGGACGAGACCACCCCCTGCCTGCCCTCTTTACTCCCTCCTTAAGGGGCCAACCGTTCGGCTTGGGTCGGCACGACTCGCGCGTCTCCTTTTCCTGGTCTATCCATAAATTCCGCTAAGCGCTTTTACGATATTTCATCCTATCCAAATTTTCCTATTTATCGATCACATTTCTACTTGCTTACGCGCACAGCACAAACACATAATAGATATCAATCGAGAGTGAGTTAAAATAAATAATGATGCATTGCAAACAATACGCGACCGAATTTATTTTCGTGTCACTACGTACATAGTATGTAAGAAAATATTAGATATTGATAAGAATTTTTTTTCGCTTTGCAAACCTCATATCGCAAGTATTTATCGAAAATCTTGATCTGGCGAAACGGAACGACGTATGCAATTTATGCGTACTCCAGCATTGGCTTATTCATCTATTCCATGCATTACCGATATGTAAAAATAAAATTAGTTTTTAGTTTTAAAAGAAAAAATGTATAAATATAAAATTAAACTGAAGAATTATTTGTTTGTAAAAAAACCGATATAAGCGCAGATGTCCGTGCAATAAAATATTTACATTGTATACTTTTCTGTATGTATGAAAGAGTGGAAGGAGAGAACGATCACATTCATAGATAGGATATTCGCGTGATACTAGTTTCGATTTTTGCCAAGGCCCTCGTTAGCCGAATCATTAACTGAATGAAATTATAAATAAAACTGTAACTATAAATTTTGCTATATGCAATCCAGCACAAAACTCCAATAGTCAGTGAATACTGAATAATATCATTTAACACTAAATTAAAAATATAATCCATATCCCAAAAAATATAAAGATTTAGTATATAAAAATAATATTTATAAACACTGAATAAAATATGATTCTTTATTACTATGTATTCTTTATAATATATTTTAACGGCAAGATTAGCTCGATAGGGACGGGAGAAATATATTTCACGCTAGCACGCATGGACGATAGTTTGAAATTTGCGTGGAGATGTCTAGAGCAATCCTCGATAGCATGTAGCACGTGAATTATTACACGCGTATTTAATGCTGGCTTTAATTTATATCAAAATATTACGCGACGAATTACATAAAAAGAAACTTGTAGAGGTAAAAAGAAACCGATTATTCAAACCTGTGTGCGTTTTAGACTGTAATAAGTAGAATAGAAGAGAACGTGTTTCCGATCTTTTTAATAAGAGAGACGTATGTACTATATTTATAAGCTAACATAAAATTAAAATAAGAATTAAAGATGTAATTGAAAAAAAATTACGACGAGCGATTAATTCCTAGAGGCAAAATATGAAAACTGTCAAACGTTTGAATAACTGGACTCGCGCCAAATATCGATTCTCAATAAAATCGAGATGGTGGGTGTGTGATGATACGGAAGCCCGAAAAATGTTGGAATTTTTTAGCAGTTGAGTATGGGGAACCATAGCCCGGGGTGACCGTGCTGGAGAATTCACGCGATAATGTGAAAGTGAAAATAAAGAAGGGTTTAGAAATTAATTTTTACATTTTACAATCCATTTGAAATCGAAACGCAGCCAACAACGAAAAATTGTATGACGTTGCAACTTTCTATCACGGAGAAAAAGAATTTGTAGAAAAATCGTATTATTCGATTTTGCGACAATGTAAAATGTTACAAATTATTAGCGCAATTTTTTCTCTACGATCTTAATACTGGTTCTATAAATTTTCAAGTAGTTTGGTTGATCTTGAATCTATTTGAATTATAGTTAAATACAAAAATAGATGGGCGAAATCATTATAGAATTATCAATAAATCGTTATAAATATTACGCAATTTTGTTTTAGTGCTCTTTACCGTATTTTATAGTCAATTCTCGCAAGTGTGTGTGCGTGCGTGCGTATGTGCGTAAGCGGATTTTCAGCAATTTGAACTCTACTCGGCTTTATATTCGGACATCTATTTAAATTTGTCAAATAGCATGCAATATAAAACTTTTATTTCAATATATGTAATACATAATACTATATATGATATAAGATTATGTAAACAGTTTGATCCGTATCAATTCGCTCATAGAAAACATTTTGTTATTCATTTTTCTAATTTTTAATGCACATATATATTTTTAGAAATGTACGAGAAAATATCGCACATTTTTTTCTGTCGATGAAAGAAACCTTTCAAAATCCTCTTCAAACCCGATATTTCAAGGAAGTCAAACTTTCCAAAGGATTACATCAGAAAATCCTTTTTTTTTCTAATTTTGTAATACGACTATGCACACAAGTGTCCCCAAATGCATGATACAATCCGATTTCAGATGCAAAGTTGTTTTTCTATATATTATTCCTTACATTAGAAATATTTTACATCCAATAGTTTCTGACGAATGAAACGTTCTTTTTATGTAGTCTTTAGAATTTATACTCGGCAAACTTTAAAAGTCATTTTTCTTGAAACAGTTTTATATATATATATATATATATATATATATAAATGTATTTTAAAATTTAAACTCACTTTTTTTACGTAGAATCATTCCCTTTGGATTAAACTGTGAATTCTGAAACATTCTCACACACTCTCTTTCTCTGTCTATCCGGTATCGGTCTGTCGGCATTTGTCTGTCTGCTGCCATGTACGTGTAATATACGAACGTGCATTGATATATACGTACATATGTGCGTGCCTACGTTTCTCTCTTTCTCTTTCTCTTTCTCTCTCTCTCTCTCTCTCTCTCTCTCTCTCTCTCTCTCTCTGCGTTAATTTACTTAATCAAAAATCACAAAATACAGATACTTGATATAATTTTTTTTAAGTTCTTGTTACACTTCGGACATTTAATGAAATTCAGGATGCATCGGTCATCATCACACTTTTTTATACTCGAATCGGACCATTTACATATATAAAAAAAAAGCGACGGCTGGCGCCTTGTACCGCGAATATCCGAGGAAGTAAAGAGAAGGTAGAAGAAAAAAAAGATCGTTAGACGTATGGGAACACTGTGTCTCGCACAAACTCTACAGTGTCGTCGTCTACGGTTCTGCCTTTTTTATTCTGTCTACTCCGCGCTGCTCGCTACATACATTTCCATTTAACACCGCGCGGTAGATCGTACAGCTCTCGCGTACCGATACCTTCAAATTTCGAAGATTATAATAACCAGAAAATAAAACCCTTCGCTTCGCTAATAATAACTAACAAAAACGATTGTTCAATTCGACTCAACTGGCCACATTTATTGAATCGTAATTCACGGAGCGAGGATTACGATTCAGTAAATGTGGCCAGTTGGATCGAATTAAACCATCATTTTTTATTATATAATAACGTTTTTTTTTTTTTAGACAACCTCTACGAGCTATCGTTGACGAGACGGTTAAAAACGTTGACGTTTTTATAAACGATAAAAATACATCGATGCGATCTTGAAACGCTTTTCTTTCTACTTTTGTGCAACACGTGACATAATATTACATGTTCCCCAAGACAAGACGAGACGGTCTTTCTGTTCCCACTTCCAGACGAAGGTGTCGTCTGAGGAATTTTTATACGCGCCTCTTAAATGCACGGCTCTTTATCGTTGCGAAAGATATTTGGTCCTTTTTAACGTTAACGAAGCACGTACGTGCTTTAGAAGTTTATATATAATCGAATAACGATCGGGAGAAACGCATTATTTGATTATATTTGAACTTCTAAAGCCAAATATCGTTCGTAACGAATAAAGAGCCGTGCAATTCAGAGGCGCGTATAGAAAATCGCATAAAAATCGCAGACAAATTCCTCCGACACCTCCGTCTGGGAACAGAAAGACCGTCTCGTCTGGTCGGGGGGAAGGGGGGGAGGTGGAGGGACCCCAGAGTGGAAACGTTCGTGCGAACTGTCGCGACACGCGACTATGCGACTTCGCGCCGACTAAATTCACGAGCGCGCTAGCGAGCGCGAGCGCGGATGCAGATGTATGACTCGCGTATATATATATATTAGTTGCTTTCCGTTTACATCAAAACTCAGATAATTCTCACTTGTGATGTCATTCTGTCTTTATTATTCATTAATTGCCAAAAAGGATAGAACGACGTCATTCTCACAAGTGAGAATTATCCGAGTTTTCATGTAAATGGAAAGCACTTATTACAACACGCGTGTAACCACGAGCGCACTAACCTGAAAGTCTGTCGACGAGACGAGACATGCCGGTGACGGTGAGGGGTACGTGGTGGACCGCCGCCGTCGATTCAGCGACCGAAATCCCATCGGCGATCGGCATTTGTATTTTTCCAGCGTTTCTCCGCGGATCCTCGCACCACTCTTTCCTCGATCTCTTCTCTTCCCTCTCCGTCATGCCGTCCTCGTCCCTCGAGCGTGCACAAATCAGATGGAAACGGGCGTGCACATCGAAGCGAGATGGAGCGCCCTGGTCTGCTCTGCTGCCGCACACTGCACAGCAGAGGAATGGAGAGGGAGGGGGGAACGTGAGTTCAGCCTAACCTAATCTGTCTTTTCTCTCTCTCTCTCTCTTTCTCCTTCTCTCGTAGCTGTCTCTTCCTCCTCCTCCTTCCGTTCCGCCACCTTCTCCACTTCTGTCTTTCCCGCAGAGATACGAGACACGGGAAAAATTTTCGCGACCGATCACCTCAGTCCACGGTGCACGCGGGGCCCTCCATTATCTGGGAATTTCCTCTTTTCCTTTTTTCCTCGGGTTCCGGATTCGGTGGCCCCCCTCGGAAGGCACGTACGGCGGGGCCGGTCGCGCGTCTCCCCGTCGCGGAGCGCGTAATCTCCTCCTGGGGCCTGGAGCCGCGCACACGTACGCGGAATGTAACGCGTGTGTCGCCGCGGTGAAAACTCCGCTGGGCGAACAGGCGGAACGCGGGGCGGTCGCCGTTCGCGTCGCGAAGGCAGGAGCGAGAGAGGCGCGCCGCGGGCCCGACGACGACTGGTTGGACGGAGACGGAGCTCGCTCGCTCGCGCGCGCCAAGCGACACGGGACGGGACGGGACGGGACGGGACGGGGCCGTCTGTCTGGCTGGACTCTTTCACACTCCGCACCAGGCCACTTCACGCACGTTGACGTACGTCGACGACGGCACGCGCGCTCGCTCGTCCCATCGCGCGTTCCAGATACGCCCGCGCACGACGGGTTCGCGCGAACGCGAAAAGAAATCGCGAGCGCCGAGTGTGCTTTGACACTGTTACTTCCGAATGGCGCCCGCCTGCCTCGTAACCCTGTTCTTTTTTCCCTCTCTCTCTCTCTTTCTCTGTCTTTCACTCGCTTTCCCCGCGTCGCGCCGATACGTACGATCAATTCGGATTCACTTGTATTCCTTCGACAGTCGCGTTCTCTGTCTCTCTCTCGTTCTTCCTTCACGTGTATCGCTCTCGCGTTCTAAGCGTTTCCTGGAACTCGAACGGGCATGTGTATATCTCTCGTTTAAAGTGCAGGACGCGACGCATCCGCGTCCGAGAACGGGGAACTCGGCGCGCTCTCCCCCTTTCCCTCGTCGTTGGGCCGCAGCGACGCACTATCGCGGTATTAAACGAGTACGGTGTTGTAACGCCGTCGTTGTTATCGTCTCGGTCGCAGTCGCGATCGCCGTAGCCGCGCTTGTCCCAGGTACGCTCGTTGTCGACGACGTTACCGAATGTGTCATCGTGGTTGTAGGCTGTGGTAGGCTGTTATGTGTCTCGCGCGCGCGATCCCGACGTCGTTCCTCTCTCGCCTGGGCCCCGAACGGGCCCCCTCGTGGATATATACGATCGCACGACAGTCCGACCGCGCCACACTGTCAAACGCGAAACCGCTACCGGGACTACCGACTACGGAAAGAACAGCCGAGCGACGAGCGACGACTGTCGAGAGTGTCGAGGCCACTGTTTCGCGACCCAACGGGCGACGTTGACGTTGTCGGGTCACCCGCGGCGCGCCTGCGCGTGGCCCGAGCGATCGTCCATTGACAGTTACCAGTTACCACGCTCTCTCGGCTCTCTAGCGAGGCACGTGATCTCGCTTTCCGCTCGCTCCGCGAGGCGCACGCGCGCGTGGTCGGTCTCGCGAGCGCTCCGTTCGACCGCGTTCCATCCGAGCGACATCCGAATTACATATACTTCGCGTCGCCAATTGTAATTGGCTAGTTTAACGTAAAAATTTCAGATTGGTCGAGCCGATGGAAGAAAAACTTCAACCATTGGTCGGCTGTGTGTGATATCCATTTCTATCAATGCGAGTTAACTTTAATCTCGGTTTAAATTCTTATATCGTAAACTTTTATTCTTTTGTAAAAGTTAGTTAGAAAAAAATTATAAGTGAGTTAAACCGAGATTAAAGTTAATCCGCACATGTATGCGTACTGTCTGTGAGTGATTATGGATTGTTTGTAATTAATAATGTTTGCAATAATTAATTATAAAGTTAATTTCTTCAATTAAAAATTATCTGCAAATTGTAGTACAAAAAAATTATTAAATAAATTATTATATGTATCAATTATACTGATATATGTATATATTACAAAATATATACAAAATGATTCGTGTGACTGCTGTGTGATTTATATGCAATATACGCAACTTTTAATGGCGTTCCCCATTCTTGGAAGCAAAAATGGCGTCGAAGCGAGGTCGTTGCTTTAGGATTTCCGCAATATGATTACTTGATTCATGCACATTGATGACATCTGACGAGAAGAAAATTAAATCCTGCCAAAGACGTTTCTTGATAATTTGTAGGTAAATCTTTTTTTTTTAATATATAGTATTTTATTGATATAAATAATTGTAAACGAATTAATTTTACGCAACAGTTATAGCACGTTGCAATAATTCTTATTTATATCTATGATTTATAATTGTTTGTATAATAATTAATTTCTTACATTAAATTTTATCTGCAAATTATAATATAAATAAACTATTAAATAAAATATATTATGGGTAAATTATACTAATCTATATATATATGTATATTATAAAATATATACAAATTTATGTATAGAAATACATCATACCAGTAGTTGGTAAGAAATTGTGATCTTATCAATTATCGATGATAAATTTTTATGTGTACATTTGCATTTTTACACATTTTATTCATAAACATAATAAAAATGATTGTTCTCCCCCCCCCAATGTTTAGTAAAAAGGTAAATAAAAAAAGAAAATAATAGAAAATAAATATTTCTTCTTCTCTTTTCCATTTGCACGATGACATTCGTTGTCACAGTCATATAATCGAACACTCGAGAGTTTTGACTCCTCCCGGTTTTTCCGTTAGAGAAACACAAATATTTAATATAAATTTCAGGATTCAATATAAATTACATTCTCCATTCCTATATTTTAATACTCGCGGGCGATTCAATATTTTTATATAAAAAAGATCAAACATTTCTTTTGATTTAAAATTATGATACTTATAAAAAAATATAAATTTTTTTCTAAAGATATAGTCATTTTATAAGTTCTGTTCCTAAAAAAAATTTATTTCATAACTAAAAAGCATCATGACTCATGACTCATGAATATCGACGCTGCCTTCACCAAGTCACCATTTTTAGAACATGGATTCGATTTAGACGAAAAGATTTGTTCTAAGCCTCACCGAAATATCGAGGCTCTGAAGGCTGGTTTGGCAGCAGCGTCAAGATTCCGTACGCTGCAAAGAGTTAAGAAGTCCAATCGTGTGAAAAAAATTGAAGTAAAAAAGTGGACATCTTCAATAGTTACGTTTTTATATATGATTAGTTTATAATTTCAATTAATAAAATGTGTATATATTTCTTTCATGCTGCTTTTTATTTTAGTTATAAAATAAATCCAGTTTGCTTAGGAATATAATTTATGACTCGACCTGTATACATTTATCTATTCCGCAATTAATCGTTAATTGAATAATCAGAATAATGGATGAGATAATCGATTGTATAATAATTATATGTGCGAGCCGTCGCGTGAGCTATTCAAAAGACAACACACGATCAGCCACCCGCCACATGATTGCTTCAATGATAAAAAAATTCTTTCAGCATTAGTTTTCAATTATAATACCCTTTTTCTTAATTTTTGGAATGAAAAATTCTAAACTATGGACTTTGGAATCTAAAAATAACGCAAGAATTATCGAATCATCTCGTTCTTGCACCTGCCGCGATTCGACGTCCGTCTAAACATCTGCGATGTCATCCATGCGATCTTGATTTAAGATTTAAGACACCATTGTTCCTCGTGACCGCGCATCATCGAGTCCACTGTCTGTCCAAGTGGAAACTGATCAGCCTCGGAGCATGATCTCGGAATATTTTGTGGACAGTACCGCGACTTGAACAAATGCAATATCGATTGTACAATTTTATACAGTTGTTTCATAATATAATAGCATATTATAATTAGTAATGAACGCATTCTTCTTTTAAATACTTCTTTAGAAAGTTCCCAAATAATTTAATCATATAATGATACAAATTGTTTTGAATATTATTTGAAATTTTTAAAGAGTTTTAATAAATGAAAGTTTTAGTTAGATACGGATCTGAAATAAATTTCTTTGGGCTATCAAAATAATTATGTAGTACGCTCAAGCATGATGATAAGCTGCAAAAAGTTTTGACATTCTAGCAATCAGCTTTAACGTTATTTTTAGATCTATAGCAATATGTATTTAGTTAAATTTTAGATATACTTTAGCAACCGTTCTGTCCGTACATCATAAGGAATATACATATTATCTGTTATCATTACTGTTTGCGTGTTAGAAAGACAAAGATATACACACACGTATACATCATCCACGAAAATAGAATCCCGACAAACTCGCATTATTACGTCTGCATTTTCTAGTAAATCTATTTAATTTTCAGTAAATTGTGACTATTTATTTTTTCACTACGTATCTCACGTTACAAAGAAAGGGAAAATGTTATTAAAAATGTATATCTTTCGTATACTAGCTTCTGGAATGTCAGTGTGGCGTAGCGTACTATCGATTAGGTGCTTGGAATTTTCAGCGAGCGACTTGCGATTACCTGCAGTAACGATGTGGTGTATGACATATGTATTATACAGTGAATCAATAATATGCGTATCGATCATTTTGTCGTAGTGGACAGTGTTATGGAAGCTTAATATCGTCGTTTCATTATTTATTAAAGGTTGTTAAAGGCTTTGAAAGACATATAGACAGTTATAATAATAACTACAATATAATATACCTACATTTAACAATATATCTGATTAATAACACGCTATAAAAGATAATTTTTCACTGTAATTAGACACATATAGTCGTTACAATAATTAGAACACAATTGAGTTAGTGACATATTGTACGATTACGACGACTTTGGTGACGCAATTTAACGATCGCCTTAATTCTTCCAGCAAAAACGATGCGAAAGATTCTAGAACGTGTAGTATTTAAATCGTGAGGATTAATAAATATAGAAAATAGGAAATTGTGATAAAAGCACGTCTCTAATTAAAATTACATTATAACTTATTCGGAATTAAATGTTATCTGACTTATCTAACTTACTTTAATTTTTATTAGTCGCGTGTCGCATGTATTAAATAAATATTAACATTAAAGTTAATTTTCTTCTATAACTTCATGTTTATACTATGTTATCTTATTCTTGTTTAAAATACAATACTTCTCAAAACTACCCTCATTGCGTCATCAAAAATAATTGTAATGCTAATGGATCCGGTCGTTATCTTAGTCGTCATCTTCGCTGCTCTTTTAACTGTCGCTGTTGATAATGACATCGATTATGTGATAAATGAGAATAATCATTGTGACAACAAATAGACAATAATTGTGCTTGATTTGCCTCGGATTAATATAATTTGGATAACATTATCATTTGTCTACTGGAAAGACACAAAAATATATTAGATAACAATAGAAATCTAATGAAATCTGGAAGTGAAATCACATCCGTTGAAAGTAGTGCGGTGATTCTAAAGGAGCATATATGAATAACCGAATCTGTCATTTTCTGATACTCATCGATCTGGACGCAGAATTGTGCACGCGGACTTTACGTACCGCACGATAAATCGATGGTCGTGCTGGGCAGGAAAAAAGGATTCATGAGAGATTCGATGGGTACCGATATATAATATTCATAAGCAAAACGTCGTGCCACTGGCATCGGCGCAGGCGTGACCATAGTCGCTTCATTGCGCCATGCCGTTCATATCACATTGTTCTGGTACCTGCTGGCCGAAACGAGACAAAAGTATTCCTCGTTCATTCGTGCGACCTTACTCCATTTCGCTATGTCAACGAGAACGTCGTCCATGTTGACTCTCGTTTTCTTTCTGCCATTTGTGCTTTGTCAAACGCCAATGGATTTGGGTAAGTACAAAGTAGTTTTACACGCGGGGACTAGTATAATATACAAACGAGATATCTTTTTTCATTTTTTCTTTCAACTGTATTTACCAATTTGTCTGCCAATATTACGTTTGACAAGATCTGTTCTCTCTTAGGTTTCTATAATTCTATAATTTTTACTTCTAACGTTAAACCAATGGGTGCCTTAGCCTTAGCCGTATAAGATACATCTGTTTCGTTGCGAAATAACAATTTTAAAACAGTATAGTCTATAAATATTAAAAAATATAATAAAGCGCAATAATAGTGATGATTCCTCGATGTGATTAACGAGGCTGATACTTCTTTCCAAGTGGTCGTGATAGAGGAATCCGATTCGTCTATTTTGGGCATATTAAATGACGCGGTTCCAGAGGCAGAACGAATTTTTGCTAATGATATGATCACCGTTCACGTTTCTACTGTCACGGTGAATCGCGAGAACGTAGACGCAAGTTTCGAGAAAGGTATTCTTGTGTATCGTACAAATTAGAAAATATTGTTATTCGATTTTTACTTTTTACTTTCAAGGTATTGTTGTCTTTTACATGCACGTATGTGTAAAGTGCAAACTATTTCTTTATTCTTTACTATTAGAAAGTAATCTTTGGTAATGAGGTGGGTTGCCCAATTCAAAAATATTCTTCTTTATTTTCCCGACAGTCTGTGCCGTTCTGTATAAAGGAATAAGTATCATACTAGATATGACGTGGACAGGTTGGGATAAACTGCGAAATGTCGCGGATGAGAGGGGAATAGTATACAAACGTGGCGACTGCAGTATATGCCCATACGTTCAAGCGATTGATGATCTTTTGATTATGAAAAACGCAACGGACGTTGGTTTGATCTTTGAAGATGAAAGAGGTGCGCACAGACTAGCGATTATTTACATTACGCTGATGCTACACGTGAATATTATTCTGCACAACTTGTTTTATTGTACTCTGTATTGCACATAGTATCTTCTTTTGCAAATTATGTAGCTTAATCAAAAGTATCAGAGGAAAAAAGTCATTTCTTGCAATTTTTTTATAATTTCAAAAATGCTTTATCACGTTATGATTTTTCAAAAGAACTTGATCCATAT